GCGATGTTGCAAGGCTCTGGCCTCCGTTTTGCGCCCAGCGCTTCACCTGCAGGGAGGTGGGTGACTCCCTGCGCGTCCCCTGCCCGTGTCTCCGTGCAGGATGACGCGTGCCTGGCGGAGCTGGCCCTGGCTCTCTCCCTCTCGCTGGAGATCAGCAGCAAGCGGCGGCTGGTGGGCGTCCGGCTGCGCATCCGGACGCTGCAGGCGGAGCTGCACGAAGGGCTCTTCTGCAGCCCGCTGCTGCACCGCATCACTGCCGGGGAGCAGCCCGGCGCAGGTCAGGGATGGGGACAGGGACAGGGACAAGCACTGGGCATGGGCTGGCAGGCACCCCCAGATCTCTACCAGCAGCCCGGCGCAGGTCAGGGATGGGGACAGGGACAGGGACAAGCCCTGGGCAGGGGCTGGCAGTCCCCACGCTTGTACAGCCAGAGGGATTTGGCTGTGCTATTACTGCTGCCCACTGCAGGGAGTGGGGGAGTGGGCAAGACCCTTCCCGTGACTCCGAGTGTCCCCCTCCAGGCCAAGGGGAGCCCCCGAAGTCCCCATCCCTGCTGAGCAGGGACACGCTGCAGCTCATCCCTGGGAGGGTGGAGGTGAAGCTGGAGAACACCAGCGTGGTGCTGTCGATGAACAGCCAGAAGAGGTAAGGAGGTGGGTGAAGGGAGAAACTGTCCCAGGGAACAGGGATTTGGGGACAACTGTGCCATTTTCAGCTCTGCCATACCGTGGAGAGCGAGTCCTAGAGCCCACCCCAGTGGGAAGGAGTGAGCTTGGCCTGGGGCTGGGTTCTTGGGGAAGTAGGAAGGCCCATGGGCTGGTTCTCCAGTGGGACAGCCCGGTGGGATCCTCTGCTGAGGGGATGAGCACACCGGGCTGCAGTCGGGCACCAGCTAGTGTCTTTGTGCTGGCACACTGCGGATAAGGGACGAGGGATGGAGGACATGCCAGTGCCATTCCCTTCTGGGAGTGACTCCCTGTTTCCTACAGGCACCTCACCTGGAGCCTGAAGCTGCTGCAGTTTCTATATCAGCGTGAAGAGGAGCAGATCCCGCTGCGCAACTTCACGCCCACCTCAGACCTGGACCAAATGAGTGTAGACCTCCAGCTGGAGGGCAAGTAGCCAGGAGGGTGCCTGCAGGACAGGGCTGCCATCCCTGCCCTCCGACACCCCTCACTTCTGCTCGTCTCTCTCCCCAGATGGCCTTCTCCTGTCCCAGAGCCGCCAGCGCATCGTGTGCCTCAACTCCCTGAAGACCAGCCTGCAGGTGAGCGAGCTCTGGGCCACGCTCCCGTCCCCCAGGGAGGGCTGGTTTGGTTCCCAATGTGAGGTTTTTTGCCACTTGCCCTCTCCCTGCTCTAGGTCACAGCCATTGACCTCTCAGCCGCTGTGCTGCTCAACACCTGCATCATCCACTACCGCCACCAAGAGTTTTCCCACTGGCTGGGCCTGTTGGCACAGGAATACAGGTGCCGGGTGGTGCCTAGCCCCAGCCAAGGGCACAAGGGAAGGTAAATTCAGCCTCAGCGCAGCTGCTGGGCTCACAGATTGTTCCCTCTTGCCTGCCACGCTCTGGCAGGGTGCCCCGGGCACGCAGCACCTTCTCCGCCCTGTGTGCAGCTCGTGGGATGGGGAGGCTGGTACGGAGGGCGGTCGGGGGTCCCTGCTGCAGAGAGGGCATCCCACTGGGTCTGCTCCTTGGCAGTTCCCCAGTGACACCCTGTCCCTGCTTGTCCTACGCAGGAGCTATCCCCAAATCCTAGCGCCTGTCATCCTGTGTGCCTCGCTGTCCAACGTCAACGTGTCAGTGCAGCTGGGGGACACGCCACCCTTCGCCTTGGGCTTCAACTCCATCTCTGCAGGTACAGAACGGCATCTGCCCTTCGGGGGGAGTGCTGGGCACTTCCTGGGGGGGTTGGTGGCTCTGCCAGGGAATCACCGGAGCGGTCGGCATCCTGGGCTTGCGGCGTGGGAAAGGGGGAGGTCCTGCCGCCTCTGCTTGCCCACATCTATGTCTGGGCAAGGGCTGTGGGTCCTTGCCTGGCTGTGCCTGCGTTGGCCCGTTTTGGGGGCAGCTGGGCAGGCAGCAGCGAGCCCTGCCTGCGCCGGCGCTCATCCCTCCCCCACCGTTGCCCACAGACTACCAGCACCTGCGGCCACAGAGCGTGCACCAGCGCGCGGTGCTGGCCGTGGATCACTTGTGCTGGCGCGTGGGCAACGACTCGCACATCCAGCGTGCCCCGCATCCTCCCAACATGCACGTGTGGGGAGAAGCCCTCATCCTCGACTCCTTCAACCTGCAGGTGAGTGACACGCCGAGGGGGTGGCTCTCGGGGTCGGGCTGCTCATGTGCAACTCCACGTGAGTGGCACGGGGACGCGTGGTGGCGCGGGGACATCCCGCAGCCTGAGAGCCATCGTCCTGTTTGTCCCACAGGGCAGCTACAACCAGCCCCTGGGCATGTCCAGCGCCCAGTCAGACACGCTTTTCCTGGACTGCACCATCCGGGGGTTGCAAGTGGAGTCGTCGGACACCTGCACCGAGTGCCTGGCCAGGGTCCTGCCCCTCTTCTGCCCACAGCCCAGCGGAGCCGAGCTTGCCGAGCAGCCGCCCTCTGCCTCAAGTGAGCCCTGGGGGCTGCTCTGGAAGGTGGATCTGAAGGTGGAGGACGTGAACCTTTTCACACTCTCAGCCCTGGTGGGTAAGTAGCATCCAGGGTGATCCCAGATCCCTGCGGTTGGAGGAAGCCGGCACGTCACGGTGTGCCTCCTTCGTGCCTCTGGCACTGACGTGCCATCTCTCTAGGCGCCCTGGAGCTGCGGCTGGACACGCTGACCATCCTGGGGAGTGCCGAGAGCTGCACGGTCAGTGTCCAGGGCATGGTGCTGGCCTTGGTGAAGAGCATCACGGAGAAGATGCAGCCGTGCTGCAAAGCTCCTGCCATCCCCAACCCGGTGGCCAACCTCTCCATGCTCTCCATCACCTACCACAGCAGCATCCGCTCCCTGGAGGTTGGTGTGGCTCTCGGGTCTCCGCCTTATCCTGTACTGGTGGGACTGGGGTGGATGGGGCAGGAGGGGGCACGGAAAGGTGCTGGGGAGGAGAACGGGGCGGTGACCGGGTGTCCGCTCGCTCTCCCTGCTGTAGGTGCAGTGCGGCGAGGGGCTGGCGGTGCTTTGGAGCCCACCCGACCACATGCACTTGTACCATCACACCCTGGCCACCCTGCAGTGCCACGAAGCCTTGCGCAGTGTCCTCGGCCACGGGACACCTCCATCCCTGCCCCCGGGGAGCCCGACGTCCCACCCGGCCACCCCCGCTGAGACAACAGGGCCCCTTCCGCCTGATGGGACCCCCCCAAAAAGACTCCTATCGCTGTCCCTGGAGCTGAGCTCTGCCAAACTCACAGCCTTTGTCTCTGAGGCCAACTACATCAGCCTGGCAGCCGAACGGACCTCCGTGAGCTGGCACGGCGGTGCCCTGCACGGCTACTGCCCCGAGCTGGCCGCCGGCTTTGACGGACACAGCATCTTCAGCTTCAAGGAGGTGGAGGTGAAGCTGCTGCCGGAGCTGGAGGAGGTCATCCTACACCGCTGCGCCTTCCCCACCCTCCGCACCCTCCGCAACCGGGGCTGGGCTTTCTCCTTCGCCAGCGTGACCATCGAGTTCCCCTACCAGTACGACTTCTCCCACACGCTGGATGCAGCCGTGGGCGTGCAGAAGTGGCTGAAAGGCTTGCACCGGCGCGGGCGCCCTGCCAAAAGCTCAAAGGCTTACACCGGCGCGGGCGCCCTGCCAGCGCGGCGCTGCCTCCCGACCTCCTCCTCAAAGTGACGCACTTCTCCTGGGTCTTCCTGGATGACGTCTTTGAGGTGAAGCTACGGGACAACTATGAGCTGATGAAGGACGAAAGCAAGGAGAGCGCCAAGCGGCTGCAGCTGCTGGACGCCAAGGTGGCCGCGCTGCGCAAGCAACACGGCGAGCTGCTGCCCGCCCGCAAGATCGAGGAGCTCTACGCCTCGCTGGAGAAGAAGAACATCGAGATCTACATCCAGCGCTCGCGGCGCCTCTATGCCAACACGCCCATGAGGAGAGCCCTCCTCACCTGGACCCTGGCCCACCTGGAGCTGGTGGCCATGGCAGATGAGTCCTTCCACGGCACAGAGCGTGTGTTGGAGCAGATGAGGGACGTGGATGGCGTCAGCCCCTTCCCCGCCGAGGGTTTGGAGATGGTGACCCAGTGGTGCCGCATGATGAAGGGCAGAGTTGGCAGCTTCTTTGGTGAGTTGCTTGGCGTGAGGGCTGCGTGGCCTGGGGTCCCTGGACGGGGACCTGCTGGCACCACGTGGTGTGTAACCGAGCAGGGACGGGGATTTTTGGAGGTTCAAGGGATTGGGAAGCGAGCAGAGATGTGAGAGGACAGCGGCTGCTGCCGGCGCCCAGCGCGGGGGACCGGGGCAGTGTCCCTTCGCTGCCCCATCTCTCAGCCCCCCGCTCTGCCCCACAGTGCGGATCCGTGACTACCCGCGCTACCTCTTTGAGATCCGGAACTGGCAGCTCTCAGGCCGGCTGATCGGAGCTGAGCAGTGCGGCCAGGCCTGCTCCCGGCGCCGCCAGGTCCTGAAGCTGGGGCTGCCCTGGGGGGACGCCACGGTGGAGAGGAACATGCCACCCTTGAAATTCTACCATGACTTCCACTGTAAGAGCCGGAGGGACGTGGCCGGGGGGCTCTGTGCCGACGTGGGGACGGGGCTG